AGAACAAATAATTTATGATTTTCCTTTTCAACATATTACCAACAACAATATATCGTATAATTGTAGTCAATTTACAGTTAGATATAAAATTGAAAATCACTTTACAAAACCAGTGCAGAGCTATAAATGTTACGCAAATCAATTATGTACCATAGAAAAGAGTTACTACAGTGAATAATACAGAAGTAAGAAAAATATATATATTTGAAATAGTACTACTACCAAAGGATTTGTATGGGAGGATATCCAGAGGAATCAGTTAAAGGAAAAGTGGTTGGGAGTTGGGTAGTTGTAGAGAAAGAGAGTTTGAAATTTAAATCAAGGCTGCGGTAAAATTGCTATAGACTCAAGTGAAAGCAAATTAAAGCACGAAAGAGTAAATTAGAGAACAGACAGGCGTTAAGTGAGTAACGAAAAAGTGTGAATAGAAAATTTACCGCTCGATTGCGCTGACATTGCCGGTGCGTTCGGAGAACTCCTTAATTTCTTCATTGCCTTTGATATTATTCAACAGAGTTTCGCCGTGTTTAGCAGCGGCCAAAATCTCTTCCTACACGAAAAAATAAAAATATTAATAATTTTGAAATTCACAAATTAGTTTATAAATGAAACCTTCAAACGCTCATAATCGCTGCCTTGCACATCAATTAGCTTTTGCGTGGCCTCCACAGAGTTGGGGAATTCCGTGTCGTGTATGGTTTGTATGAAAATATCCAATTCGGTTGAGACCTGATGTGTGAGACTAGAAAATTTCTCCAGTGACTGTGGAGAGAGTGTAGATAATATTAATTAATTTATGTTTCTTGTAATATAAATATGTGGGAGATTGACTTACTATTCGTTGCTGTATCCACTCGTGATGGGAATATATTAACGATCCGCCCATATCCACTGTTAACTGGCTTTTGTCTATGTACTCGTGCAGATCAGTGAGCGCTGAACATACTACGAGCCGAAAGCGATATTCATCTTTTGAGAACTTTGTGCTTACTTCGGATATGGCTTTTTGGAACAGTCCTGATGGCCGTAGTACATACACTACATGTATTACGCCGGGAAAGTAGATCTGTGTAAAATAATGAAATATTTGCTAAATTGTTTGTCTACGAAAATTTGGGGAATTTTTACTTAGATTCACAGATTAATACTATATTGTAAAGTTTAAGAAAGTTTATACGCCATAAAGTTCTATATGTAAATTATGCTTAGAGGGTATTAAAGGCTATTCAACTCTGAGACCAGCCACTTTCCTTCAGTCATATGGCTGAAAGTGCGGTGTATAGATTTTATATCAGTCCAAGGACAGTCAAGTCTACGTATGAGAACGAACCCGGACTTTTAACCAGAACTGTAAACTGTAAACTCGGCAGTATTTCTCGAAATTTTTTGCGATATGTTTTCAACCGCGACAACAACCTCCAAGCACTATTCCTCAAAATCATTGAGGCTCTTTTCCCGACAGTCGGATCAACGTAAGCGGAAAGACCCTACATTTTTATGCGGATAAGAACTATCACCTCGACAGCTTTCCTAAAAAATATCAGTAGTGTGTTTCGGATCACAATAACAATAAAAATAATGAAATAAATGAAGGAATGAGCTATGATGTTATAATAATAAGATATCAAGGTCTGACTTTTCAAAGGATGTAGACCTTTCGACTCAAAGTAAATGCGGTCAACAATTTTCTGCTCATCAATATACTTTCAAACTTAGAAATATCAGAAAGAGTATGTATATCGTTAGTAGGTATTGATGGATCGACATATTTTCGAAGTATTTCTAGGTTAAGTTCGCAGTCATATACTGTTTGAGCTTATAATAGTGCCTTGACTGTAGAATTTTTTTGCTCTCAACTAAAATTACTATTTTAAGGTTATACAAATTTTTAAAATTTGCAAATAAGTATATTTTCTCACTTATCGGTCTAAAGATAATACTTTTAAATAATTTTAGGTATCTAAATACAGTTTAACGACGATTCAGAGCATAGAACTTGCTATCTTTTCCGATTTAAAAACCATAAAATCCTAAACCTGCACCCTCGATTGACTATAGAAATTATATAAATTCTACTTTAGTACTTAGGAAGTTTGAAATAAATTACCGATATTCGCTGCAGCGCTGTTTTCACCGACGTCCATTTGTCCTTCCGTCGATCGATGATCAGCTGAAAGCCCAAATCGGTATCTTGCAGCCTAGAAATGTTAGAAATCATTACTAAAAATATTTCATAAAATTGACAATGCCTTGCTTACGATGGCACTGATGTGAGATATAAAATTAATTTCTGATAATCAGCCTCCTCCAATAAATTGAAATTGTTATTATCTGGGAATATGATTAGCGGGCAACCGCCATGAGACCGTCCACCTAAAAAATGAAGTACAAAGTAATTAAGCTCAATGTAATGATTACATACTAGTTTCGAAGCGTTTACCTGTTATGATCGCATGTTGCGGATGTAACAGATCAGCAACATCGGCAATATTTAGTACACCCTCCCCGCTCATTGCAGCTGCTGCCGCCGCTGGGCTAATGTGTTCCAACAGCGAGTTAATGCACTCAGCTGCCGGCAGTTGCTGTTGTTGTTGGGGTGTTTGTGTTTGCGGTCGCAATGTTACTAGCGCTTCTGTGGCATATGAGACACTCTGTGCTGTTACTGGATTGCTGTTAATACCGCCGTTACTGTTATTACTTGTTGCAATTTGTTGTTGTGTTTTTGTTGGTGTTGCTGCTCTGTGTGCCGGCGTTGTATTGTTGCTTGATATGCTGCCGGTACGTTGCAAATGTTGTTGTTGTTGTTGCTGCTGCTGTTGTTGTGTACTACTGGTGCTGGTGGTGCTCGCGAGCATTGACTGATGCAACACCGTTTGTATTGAAGCGCCACTACTCACCGATGTTTGCGACTCGAGCATATGTTGATTAATCAATTGTTGTTGGCGTTGTTGTGCGGCACTCAAAACAATTGCCTGCGATTCAGCGAGTACGCTCTCAACGTCATTATCTGTAGAGAAAGAGAGAACATGGTGAGAAAAGTAAATGCAAATGAGTATCATAAACTAATTTAAAGTTATGATAAGAAAGCTTTCGATGGTAAATAATTTAGCAGAATAGACAGTTATTAGTTAAGTTGAGATTTAAGCGCATGCTTAGTAATTTAATGTGTAATGTAGTAATACGAGTGTCTTATTTTTGGATCTTTGATTTTATCGTATAAGTATAAAAACTGTGTCTCAAAATATGTATATACATATATTTTCATTAGATCTCAATCTCAATCTTAGAATGTTTGTCAAATATACGTATGTATGTTAAGTTATGACAGAACTATTACGGAGCAATTTAGGGATCGGCTAATGTGTAGGCGAAAGCCAAATATATACCGACAACATAATTATTTTTGCCACACTTTTAGTAGAATTTTTTAGGCAAATTTAAATATTACAATACATAAATATTTTCCTGGAATGAGCTACATAGCAAAGTGAACATGAGTTATAGCTGCATTTGTTAATATCACATTAAATAATGCTATAGTCATATTTACAAAATATTTGTGGTAAAAGTTTCAAATTGATAAGCCATAAGCGGCCAAAGTGAAAAAATTATATATATTGTATTTATTTATTCCCTGAACAGGTGCCACAAATTGTAAACCCAGTCTATCCGTCTGTCGGCATATATGCAAACAAGCCCAGGCTTTTGAGACATCGATCTGAAATTTGCACACCTCCTTTTCTCCACAGATGCTGCGCATTGTCGGAACGCCGATATCTGACCACTATACTTGTAGCATATGACTGTAGAACTGAACGATCAAAATAAAGCTGTTGTATGGAAAACTTTTTCATTTAAAGAGATATCTTCACGAAATTTGACACATGTTATATGATTGGTATACCTTTTTTATGCTCTGTGAAATTTGTTCTCCCTATCCAGTTAGTTTGTGTTTGGTAGCTGTTTTTACGACGAACAGTTTGTTTGGCGATTTTCACTTTGGAAAAAATTTAACGGGCACAAGTATTTGAGTGCCCAAAGCATTCAGTGAAGATCGTAACGTCATCGAAAACTGCCTCATGCAATTAGTCCATCCACCTTGTTAATGACGATAACAGGAAAAGTTGACAAAATAATGCTTGAAAATCGTTGTGCTGGCTTTAAAACGACAACAGAGGATGTCAACTTCTCTTATGGATCGTATCAACACATTTTGGTCAATGTTTTGCGTATAAAGCGAATCAATGCTAGACTCGTACCAAAATACCTGAATGCGACGTAATATTCTAGTATTATTGTGGCTGACTGTGACCTGACTATTGACCTTGTGCATTAGCATGCCATCGGATCAGGAGTATTTAATGTATAAATCGTAAAATTTGATTTTTTCATTTGAATATCAGAAATAAATATAAAATACATAGTAACACATAACACGAAAAGTGTATAAAGAAAATGTAAGTATTTTCAATTTCTTGTTAATTTGTAATTGATTTAATTATTTTATTTTTCCAAGCTTTGTTGGTTTCTTTGCAAATAAAATAAAGCATTGCCTTTGCGTCTGTGAAACTGTTGAAAGCTTATAAATTTCAACTAAATAAATATTGTAAAAATTATTTTTTTTTTTTCCTTTATTATTATTTTATTTATTATTTTTTCTTTGCACCTATACGCACTTTTATTGAGCTTAATTGACTGAAATTGTAAAGAATTATGAGTGTCCCATATAACTTCATTTGAGTTAGAAAGTCTGCACTTTAAATGTGACAATTGCAAATGAACCTTGGTTAGAAAAATAAATTATTTACAAGTAACTGTTAACAAAGTAAATCTTTGGCGTCAGAAATTAGCAAAAAAACTATGAAGTGGCAAAGATATAGCTGGTCGTCATTGAGAAAAGTAATCAGTAATGATAAATGTCTCAAATTTAATTTAACTACTTTTAACTACATTCAAATCACGGAAATTTTATAGTCCTATCTATATTGCATTGGTATTTAAATAGAAGTAACAGCTTACTAAATTGCCTATGAAACTAACTAACAGGTTGTAATTACATAAATTCATAAAATTATAGTTAGCAGATATTTCATATTCTCTTTTGTAATTTGTCTGTAATCGTTTTCCGACTTAATTAACAGTTTGTCACACATACACATTGAGACATATTCAAGTATATTAACCCAACACCGCCTACTGCCCTCAGGCGTCCTACACAGAATGCATTTTGATCGAGAAAGGCAACAATTAACTGACCTCCTCTAGCTCTCACTATAATTTAGAATTTGTTGAGTTCACAATGGAGACGTCACATTTGTAACATTTGACAGTGACTTACAGATACGCGCATACACACATAC